ATAGTTTAATTTTAAACATGGGCCCTGGGCCCGGTTTTTCAAAACGTTTAATCTGGATAAAATTTATCCGGATTTAGTAATCCTGTTTTTGTGATCCTTGATCATGTAATCCAGCTTACTTTTTGAGCCAGTTTTTCAAAACAACATCGGATTGGATCGATCTGATCCGGATAGGAACTTTTCAGGATCACTAAATCTGGATAATCAGTGCTCAAACAGGATAGGACATCACAATGTAGAACTATAGATATGTAGAGAGCGACAAGTAGAATAGCCAGCGTGGGGCCAATAAAACTTTATTTTTATTTGAAATGAAAACTAAAAAAAAAAATTATGATTATTAAAATAATAATAATAATAAATAATAAAAACAAGAAAAACCCCACCCCATCCTCTTTCAGCAGTCCGCTCATCTGAGACCTACAACACTGTACATTGAGGATATTTATAATAAGTTTCAAATATAGATGTAAATCAAAAAAGACTTAATGTTAAAAACTCCACAATAATTTCAGACTTCCTCATCTGTGTGTGGAGAGACCAGCTTGTCTGAGCGTAGCCTTTAGGAGGCGAATCTCAAGTCATTGGCCTTGGTTTGCTGCAGTTTGGTCAGAGTCAGTTGTTCCTCTGCCAGATGAAGCTGTGCTTTTGCCCTTTCAGTCTCTTTTTGCAATTGTTGAAAGTGATTTAAAAAATCAGCGATTGCCATTCTTTGCCATTTTTTTTTTTGTTATTCTGTAATCATTGCATGCATCACTAATAAATATTCTAAACACAAAAATATTTTCCATTGTGATGAATATATATATCAATTAGTGACAGAATAAAATTTATTGTTTTTGGTCAGTTTTGACAGCTGTTTGGGGGATTATTTTATTAGGCCAAACTCTTTTTACTTTGCTGTAGACCTATACTGAAAGGCTGAATACGTTAAAGCCAATACTCACAATAGCCTGACAGATGAACAAATAAAATTAAAACCATATGAATAAATAGTATATTAGTAAGATACTGCATGACCCAAAATTAGTATTATTTAATACATTTTTAAGTTTTCATTACATTTTGGACATGAAATCCATGCTAAATCCACCCTTCTGATGGGATGAGTTTAATCCAGGTTTTTTGGATCAAAGTGATCCAGATCCTACAAAAAAGGTCTGAAAAACCCAAACTAAAGGTTTAATCCGGATCAAAACCAAGATTAGATAACGTGATCTAATCCGATTATGTAATCCGTTTTTTCTTTTGAAAAACCCATTTTCAAGATTTGATCCAATCCCTTATCCAAAATCCTAGTGGATTACTTTTGAAAAACCGGGCCCTGGAGATCGACCTTTCTGCAGATTTGAGTTGCAACCAATATCAAACACTTCTGTCTGTAATTATCAAGTGCTGTTCAGGTCCTAATTAATTGGTTCAAGTGTGTTTGATCAGGGTTGGAGCTGAACTTTCCAGGAAGGTCGATCTCCAGAAACAGGGTTGAGCACCGCTGACTTAAGCTACGGTCACACTAGAGTTTGTGTGTGCAAAATTCTGTCGTACGGCACTGCGAAAAGGGGCGGGATTAAACAAGATTATTAGACATTAAAAAAAGCGAGCGATTGCTCCATGTTTTAAATTTCTGTCCAGAGAGGTCATGTTTTGATCCTCGATTGGTCTCACGCAGTCAAGTGACGCGATTTCGCAGGTCAGAGCTCACCAAGCTTGAACTTTGCACCGCAGCAAACTGCGAAAGTTAACGCATGACCCTGGTCTGACGCGTTCGTGTGCATATGAATGGAAGTCTATGGGTAGAAAAGTCAAGTGTGACCTCAGCTTTAGGCTATAATGTGCTTGACCATCAGCAAATCAGAATATTCAGCTCGACAGCACTTTAATTTTGTGTCCAGAGTCGTTGCCTCAGTCAATCAAATCCAGTTAAATAAAGCCTACAGCTCAGACTACAGGGGTTTTAGCCTGATTTTCACCTTCTGAGAAAATGAGATAGCCTAAATAAGTTTACTACAGTCTGTGATAAACAAATAAACACTTTTTTTCATATTTTCATTGTCAATTCTTTAGTTTCTGCCTTATTAAAAAAATAAACTCATCAGAATCATCTTAAAAGTATTATATTTATACATTTATTACCGAAACTTTAGATTTAATGTAAATTAAGTTTTTAGTCAGTGAAAGTGAGGGAATTTATTAGTTTTGGCTTGAAGCCTGTGCATCTTTTTCTCCATTCGTCATGCTGGTGAGGAACAGTCTGCGCAAAAGGAGCGCAGAGTCGGTGACATCGAAAACAGCTCTTTCCTGATTGGCTGAAAGGTACGAGTTGCCTTCTTCAACCAGAACAGTCTGAAAATTCACACACACATAAAGACTAATTGTTGATGTCTGTGTGTTTCTAAGTCCTGCCATAGATCAGACATTCTCATTGTGGATTGTGTATTTAGAGCGAAAGCTCCAGTGGTTTCATTCATATTTTTCATTTCTTACACCAAGCTAACAAGATATTCAACAAATAGAGAAGCTGATGAGGGAGGATTCAATACCATAGTTAATCTTATCATACTGATTCGTATATAGGCAATTTTTTTGGCTTTTCATGCTATACAGATAGGACACAATCAATTATAGGAACCAAATATCAACTAGTGTTAAATAAGCAGCTGAAGAGCCCAACTAAAGCAGATGCTAACCTACATCACAATGACTTCAAAAGAACAACATAAATGTCATGAAGAGCTTTTGTCTACATGACAGAAATAAAGTCAGAGCTCAGTAATGAGTAAAGTTAGTGGAGTTGTTTAATGGTCTCTGCTGGGATCTTCATTTTTATTGTGTAATTATTTTGATTATTATTATTTTATTTAGAGTTTTATTTTCAGTTGATTTCATCTTTGGTTTTGGCTGTAATTTGTGTTTTTCTTTCCTTGAGTGATTCTGCTGTTAACAGTTGTTCATCAATTCATACTTTAATTAGACTCTTAATTATCTGATTAACTTCATCAATGCCTGAGTGTTCAACCCTCTGTAGTGAGGACACTAGTGAGGAGTTTGCTCTGGGATTTAAGGGGTTAAATGTGTTTGATGAAAAATACAGACTGTGTAATGTATTTGATGTATATGTATATGGATTTACAAATGTACAGTAGATTACTGGCAACAGCTACCAGCATTTTTTCCGTAAATCTAACAGATTTTTTTAACAGTGTAAATAAATTAAAGCTAAATTATAAATGTTGTGTTGACTGAACTAAACAACATTACCTTTATGTAACTAACTCAAGTTCACTCAAATACATATTCTTTCTTTAAGGTAACTCTGTTACATGGAACCTGTTGACATAAAAAAGTTAATTAGAGCCAACATATCATTTTTTTGAGTGCACCATTGTGGAGGATAGTAGCATCTGTTTAAGTCCAATATGAACTAAGGATAGCTGATGTTGTGCTGCATCTTCTTTTGTTTTAAAGTAACTGTGTAGTTACTAATGCAGTGAAAATCTGTTTGCTAATTAAGCCTACATGAACACATTAGTACATTAAATGACTTTACGTTTTTTGAGCTAAACTGGGTTTTTGTGAACTGAGCATTCTATGTTGATGAAATACAGTTATTTTCTGTAAATTTAAACAGTCCTATAAAACTTTCGCATTTTTTACTGAAAATTCCTGGCAACAGCTGCTGGTATTTTTCCGTAAATTTAACGGATTTTTTAACAGTGTAAATAAATGAAAGCTAAATTATTAATGTTGTGTTGATTGAACTAAACAACATTGCATTACCTTTATGTAACTAACTTAATTCACTCAAATAAATATTCTTTCTTTAAGGTAACTTAACTCGGTTACGTGGAATCTGTCGACATAAAAAGTTATTTAAAGCCAACATATCATTTTTTGAGTGTGGCCCTTTTGGCCAGCAGCGGCCCTGAATAAACTGATCCCAGATCAGCTTCTGTACACGCCATTTAAAGTCACCTCTGTATCAAAAAAGTGAGCAGCAAATGCATCTCAGTTTTGTTTCGTTTGATAGAGGTGTCAAGGATGCGCTGCAGATAGGCTAACTGAAGCATTCCATTAGCCTACTTTAGAAACTGTTTGTGCTTATTTAAGAGGAAATTAGCTGTTTAAAAAAACATGCAGGACGGAGATACATATTATTTAGTGTATTTGTCTGTCTGTCGAATCTAAAATTGTCCTGCACTTCAGGTCCTCTAAAAGGCGTGTAAAGAGAAGCTGATCTGGGAACAGTTGTATGGTGCGCGTCAGTCAGCGCTTACATGCATTCACTGGTTCAGAGGTAGCATATGAAAGGCGACTATCGCACAGCTTTAATGGAAAGAAAGTGAATGCAGATATTTTAATATTACGTTCAGCGTGCTTTCAAGATTAAAAATCTATCAGAAATATGGGAAAATACTGAATGATAGGAGGATAGTGGGAGAATGGTGACGGGATATTCGGCAAAAACGCGAGGGTTACTTGAATGAAGTGAACTGGAAGTGTTTTGGAGAAACACAGTTTTGCGAGATAACGCAAAATATCGAGGGAACGCAAAAAAAAAATAAAAACATGTTTTCCTATCACTCTGTTTTTTTTTTCTCCCACCATTTTCCCCACCATCACGTTCCCTTCTCGGTCTCCGTAGAAATAGTAAGAAAAGAAATCATTAATAACGCTAATTGTAATTTATTATTAAGCACTGCGAAAGAGCTGTAGACAGTAGACAGCCCCACTACTAAGTGGTACTTGTTACCTTTCTCCGCGCTTTTTAGGCTCCACCAATCACAGTTAATTGTCACTTTTATAGTTTGTTTATAGAGCTAATTTCCATGGCACTCGCATGTGAATAATTGGAAACGTAAATTAAAAACGCAAAAGCTTAAATGTGGTGTTTAAACGTCGATTAGAAGGCAAAAAAGTAGTACTCTATGAAAGGATTTGGTCTCTGAGCCACCGTTCGCCCCCTGGAGGAAGAGACGAGTTGGGTTATAGAAAACAACAACAGGAAGCCGCCCAATGCGGTTCGCGCTTGTCTCGACAACAACATCGCCATTTTCAGCTCTGGAAGGGAGGTGGGGACGCCGAAATCTCCCGCGGTACAGCAGAAGTAGGTCAACCAGCAATATCGCTGAGACATACGCACACAGGCTGCCGAGAAAACAACACGTATTAACTGAAATCTGCGCTTATTCGTTTCCAATGCGCGTGCTTTGCTCCACTTCGATGATTTCGGATTCCGGGCCCGGTTGACATTCGGTTGATTTTTCTGGTTTCGGTTTATTTTTTACTGTTAGCGAGCGAACTGGACGGAGAAAACAGTAACACACAAAACAGGTAATTTGGGGATTTGCAGCAAGGCTTAACCTTACTAGATCTTTCTGTGTAAGTTATGTCTAACTTATCTAACCCAATGTGTGTTTACAGGACTGATTATGTTTTATTCAGGGTTAATATACTGTTTAGCTTCTAATGTTTACTCAGATAGATGGTTGGTTAATGGCCAGGCCAAGCTTTTAAAAAAACTTAAATTTGCTGCGAACAGACATTCATTCAGCCAAACATGATTTTGTTTTTGTAAATATGTTAAGTTAACTTGTTTTGAGCATAATTTAAACCATTTTAACGCAATTTAACGTTACATGTATATACACCCTGAAAATAATCAATGATGCATGTCATGGATGCTTGCAGCTGGTACTGGTTGTGTATGTTGAGGTAAAGTTGGTTTTATATTCACACATTCTAATATAATTTCAGAAAAGTATTATTTACAATTTGTAAATATCAAAATTATATTAGCAATAACAATCAAAGTACAACATTGTTCAAAGTCAAATAAATAGTGCTAATGTTGTATCGACGTTATAGTCAGTGATTTCAAACCGAATATTCAAAGTGACATCGCAAACAATATAGGGAGTATGTCATAAGTTGTCACCGAACGAATCTGTGAATATAAAACTAATTTTACCTTAATGTTGTGTGTTCTTTTGTTTATTTGTCTGCATATGTTTGTGTGTTTGTACATTTGTTAATGTCAATGCGTGTGTGGTTGCTTGCACCTGGTTTGTTTACACTCCACATCTTGTTCTCAACAGTTCCCTCAGATCCCCAAAAATGAAAAGGAGGTTGAGCAAAGAGTGTGAGGACAGCACCTCATCATGCGAGGGGCAGACAGTGTCCTACAAGAGACCGAAACAGCCCTCCGAGGACTTTGGAGATCTGCAGTCCAATTGGGTTCGACTTCCCCAGGAGATCCTGCTTCACATCTTTCAGTACCTGCCCCTTCTTGATCGAGCCTTCGCATCACAGGTTTGCCATAACTGGAACCATGCCTTCCATATGCCAGAGCTGTGGAGATGCTTTGAGTTCGAACTCAACCAGCCGGCCACCTCTTACCTGAAGGCCACGCATCCTGACCTAATAAAGCAAATAATAAAGAGGCACTCTAATCACTTGCAGTACGTCAGCTTCAAGGTGAGAGGCTCATGTTGGAAGGTCATGTAATGGTCAACAATTCTGGTATGGGGAAAAATAGAAATGCTACTACTACTACTTATGTGGTAGGTTATTGGCAGATTTGTCTTGATTTGATTTTAAACAGTTTACAAATCAGGCTGGCTTTTAAATGGTTAGTTCATCCAAAAATCAAAGTTTAGTCACATTTACGTTCACCTGCATCACGATTTTTGGGGTGATATTTCATATAAAATGACATCTAGAAGAAATTTAGCTCCTCTCCTGTTGTTCCAGATATGTAGGTTTTATTATTATTATTTTTATTTCTCATATGAACGTTGGTAACCAAATAAATTCTGGTTTATTTGACTTAAAGCAGGGGTGGTCAATCCTGTTCCTGGAGATCTACCTTCCTGCAGATTTCAGTTGCAACCCTTTTCAAACACACCTGTCTGTAATTATCAAGTGGATTTCAGGTCCTAATTAATTGGTTCAGGTGGGTTTGATCAGGGTAAGAGCTAAACTGTACAGGAAGGTAGATCTCCAGGAACAGGATTGAGCCCCCTGACTTAAAGGATCACTCCACTTGTTATTATTTTGATCTAAATGTGAATATCGGTCACTTTCAAAACATAAATGGAAATGTTTTTACTTAAATGTGGCATATTTTACCAAAACGTAATGAAGGCATTGTGAATTCAAATTTATTAACACTTTTCTATGTACATAAATGGAGATATGGTGGATATTTTACACTTTGTTGATCTGTTAGACTAGAATTCTTTAATAGCTTCGGCTACTTTTTAAATTTTTTTTTGGTCAAATACACTCTCAGTGAAGAGCTAAAATTTCTCAGTCTTCATTTGAAATGGCCTTCTGTGCTTTTGTTTCAGTTGGATTTGTCATGATGATGAGTAAATGATGACTGAAGCTTTGTTTATTATGAGTCACCTCAAGGAAAATTTGTAGACGTCTTACAATTATCTAGATGTTATTAAATCAGGGGTGCCCAAATCTTTTCTTATGAAAGGCCAAAAACCAAACTTGATTGAGGCTAGTGAGCTAAAGGTCAATATAGTCGGGATGGGTATTTTCCACATTTATTTGATATTATTTATAAAAAGTCTAGAAAATATTGCTTTATATTAACTAATACACTATATATTTTTTCATTTTGTAATAACGTTTATAACAAAAAAAAATGTTATACCAACAAAACAAACAAAAAGGTTACGCCAAATTAGAAATGATGATCTCTGTGGTCAAGGCATTCGCCTCTCAGCTTAACATAGAAGATTATAGTAAATTGTAACGGTGTCACTCCAGTTTTCAGAGTGGAAGTTCAGTTTAGTTTAGTTCAGTTCAGTGGTTTAATTTTCACTGCTGAAAGTCCAAGCATTGAAGAGCAAATCCATCCATGCGCAGCTCCACAAGTCCCGAACCATGCAAGCCAGTGGCGACCAAAGGCAACTTTAATTTTTACACGGTTTACATTAAGTCTTGTGCACACTTTTTAGGAATAAAATAATTATTTTAATAAACAATGAACCCCAAAACCATACATATTCAACAGATACTAGTAAACATAATAATTTCAGGCAAGTCTTTATAATAATGATCAAACTGTATGTGTAGTTGTGCCTGGTTTTTAGATGGAATGTTTTATCGTTATATACACTAAAAAATTTTGCAAATGAGCAGCTTTCTGTATATTCATGTTTTTATGTTAAATTTTTCTCTGATTATTCGTGCTTTTAAATCAAAATGTAGTTTATTCTGTCAAAACCTAAACACAATAATTCAGTTGATTGAACTGTTTTGAATATTTTTAGATCTGTGTGTACAAAGATGCTGGAACATATCCAGCATCGACCAAAGCCAACTTTAATGTTTACACAGCTTACATTAACTCATGTGCAAACCATTAGTAGGCCCATACGGAATCTGCGTACACAGAAATCCGCAGATTTCTGCAGAGTTTTAGCTCATCATTGAGTCTATGTAATTACTTGTGTAAATGTGTGTAATTTTATATTTATTTATAGTTTTTCAATTCATTTCACAAATATTATTGTGATATAATAATAATAATAGTAATATTAAAATGTAGATATGATTTTTTTTTACAATACGGTATTTTTATATAATATTGTCTGTCTTTTAGTAGACGCATTATATGAGACACTTGCTTTGTTTACCAAATAAGTGGATCTAATTGGATTTGCATTGTAAACATTAAATACAAGTTAAAGATGTATTATTTTTATTAGTAACTAAATAGTTTTTAGTTATGATGCTCCTAAAATTATTCCACATAAATCCGCAGATTTTGTTTACAAAATTCTTTGCAGAAATAGCAAGAAATGTCCGCAGGTTCTGTCTGGCCCTAACCATTAGTAATATAAATAAATAAATTTTTTAAATAAACACTGAAACCAAAAACCATAAAAGTGCAACAAAGTCAAGTAAACATTATGAATTCCGACAAGTCTTAATAATTAGGATCAAATTGTATATGTACTTGTGCCTGTTTTGAGATGGAACACATTTTTAGCTAAAAACACAAAAAAATATTGTAAATTAGCAGTTTTTTGTGAATTCAGATTTTTATTCAAAACATTTCCCTGATTATTTATGCTTTTGAGTTGCATTATAGGACCTTGATTTTCTTCCAGCAACACTAACCCCTGTAAAGTTTTAAAAAAGTGGCTTTTATTGATGTTTTAATAGTTTAAAGTGATATTGTCTGGGTTGGTGTTCTGTATTATGGTACAATAACTTGGCAGTAAGCTGCCATTACATTTTCTTATTCATTATTATTTCAATATTTCTTTTTTTTTTTTTTGTTATTTCAGGCTACTTAAATGTCAGTAAAAGTCACTTTGTTAAACTGTAGCATTGATCTAAGGTCTACAGAGCAGAGATGAAGGTCTCATAATGTAATTCACATCCGTAAATAAACAGAAAACACTTGTGAATCACAAAATATGGAAACTAAACTTTTTACAGTGTAGAAAATGTGTCCGTATATAATCATGCACTTAACTGATGTGTTTGGCTGTAAGAATGCATCTACAAATGATTCTTTAAACAGTCAGATTTTCCACCAGAGAATTGAGTGATTTATGAATTTATAATATTATTTATTTTTGCTAATTGTTATTTCTGCTATTATTATTACTATTAGTTTTTCAGTATCTTTTTTTTATATATTTTTTTTAGTTTTGTTTACTTTTAAGTTGCCCATTTATTATAAAATTGTCGTCTTATTTCACTTAATGTTAGTGTTTTTGTTTACTAAAATCTGTACAGGTGGACAGCAGCACAGAATCAGCAGAGACGGCATGTGATATCCTTTCTCAGCTAGTAAACTGCTCGCTCAAGACCCTCGGCCTGATCTCCACTGCACGACCAAGCTTCATGGAGCTACCGAAGGTATTAGTCAATACTTCATTATGGCTGAGCTTTAAGTTGACGAGGTGGCTTGTTTTCTGATGTTTGATTTTTCTTCCTTCAGTCTCACTTCATCTCCGCACTTACCGTGGTATTTGTCAACTCAAAGTCTCTTTCTTCTCTGAAAATTGACGACACGCCAGTGGACGATCCTTCACTCAAGGTTCTGGTGGCTAATAACAGTGATACACTCAAGCTGTTGAAGATGAGCAGCTGTCCACATGTTTCTCCTGCAGGTATGATTTGCTCATCTGCTGCTGGAATATGCTGTTAACTGAGGGATGATTATAGATTTTATGATTATAGATGTTGGTCAGTTCCTCCATACCTGTTTTGAGTTTTTGAGAATGCCCTTTTATTTTAAAATAAAAAAATAATAGCTTTATTAAATGGATTGTTCAGGCAAAAGTTATAATTCTGTCATCATTTACTTATCCTTCACTTGTTTCAAATCTGTTTGAGTGTCTTTTTTCTGTTAAGTACAAAAGGAAAACACACTGAAGAATGTTGAATAAAAAAGCCATTGAATTCTATGGTATTTTTAGTTTTACTATGGATGTCAGTGTCTGCTTTCTTCCAACATTCTTCATAATATCTGGTTTTGTTTTCAACAGAAGAAACTTGTAAAATTTTAGAACCACGTCATTTTTTTCTTTTTTAGCTACAGAAAAACTTAATTTAGTAAACAATTAAGTAGCACAACCTACAAGCATCAAAACAATAATAAAGGTAAATTGTGACATGCGTAAATATTCAGATCAAAAATATTGTTGAATATTATTAAAACAGTTTAATTTACAAAGGATAAATTACATTTGTCCAAGTGACAGTAAGTGCATATATAATGTTTTCATAAATTACTTTCACACAAAAAGCTAAAAGCTGTGTTCAACATTGATTATAAGAAATGTATGAGTGGCTAGTGAGAATATCAGAATGATTTATAAAGGAGCCTGTAACAATGAACTCCAGAAAATCCAGCTTTGAGATTTTATTAATTATTTAAAAAAAATTCAAATATGTTTTTATGACAGTATTACTGTTTTTACTGCATAAGGTACTTAAAGATACAAAAGATACTTAAAGAAACATTAAGAACAACTTTTGGACAGTGCCGTATGGGTAGAAAAACAATGATCTCAAAATATATGCTTTCCAAAAATGTATTCATTAGGTCGTTGTGACCTACAACAGTTTTCCGGTTATGGCCAGTAAAATGTCTGACAGTGTTGTTTGTCTGTGACGGTCATTGTTCAAACTCTATTAGTCACATGCTGCTAATAAACGAGGCGTGAACAGGCTGAATATGATGATAACTTTGGTTTATAGCTTATTGACACGCCTGCAATACTGGCTGGCCAACTCGATGGAGGAACAAACTAAATAAAGAAACGCCTGTCTGCTCCTAATAGAGGCTACCGGATTTATTGTGATAGACGCACATCAGTATTTTCTCTGATACTGAATGATTCCAATAGTGGTGTCTATTTAGCTCCTACTTAAGAAAAAATATGCATATTTCATGTAATTTGTTTACATAAAGTGTAAGGCAAACTAATATATTTTTTAGAAGGATTGATAGTATAAAACACTTGTCATTTCCTCACTTTTTTTTTATTCTAAATCTTCATGACTTTCTCTTTCTCATGAATTTGAAGTATTTTTCCATATTGTGAAAGCGAACAGTGATGGGTACTATTAAGTTACAGATTCATCAAACTAGTGCAATGTATTCCATATAACGTGTTATATACAAAGGTTTTTTTTTTCCCACTCCACCCTCCATCTCAAATTTAAATGGGTTACAAAAGTCATATGGATTGTGTGCAGCTAAAGATAGTGTAAATTAGGGCTGCACAATTTATAGTTTCAGCATCGTTATCGCAATGTGATCTTTCTCAATAGTCACATCGCAAGTATATGCAATATTGAGTCTGCATTATAATTATATAATATAATAAAATATATTATATAATAATAATAATAATAATAATACAAAGTTTTTTTGAGACGTGTGAGGGTTTTAAAAGCATTCAGGCCTAAGAAATTGTAATGTCAGTAACTTTGACACATCAATAACGGTTGAATTGTTTTTTTAAAACCTAGGCAGTATATTTTACATATGATCATTTATTTGATTACATTGATTATACATATGATTAATACCTGAGTACAGTTCGACCCCTCTGAAAGCAATCCAACACTATTTAATTTTTGTATCTTTTTCTTTATTGTATTTATCTATGCTTCTAGATTGTTATTTATCTATGCTTGTAGATACATACATCTCGCAGGATAAAAAGTATTGTATTGTGAGATTTTTCTAATATCGTGCAACCCTAGTGTATATAGTAGGTTAGTCAGACGGACTAATGCAAGTCTGCTTTTTATTTACTATTTCATTTAATTTCATAATGTTTATGAATCCCTTTATACAATGTATTTGTAGACAATACCACAATGTATGACACTATTTTGACAGAACCAATTGAATCTATATTTAATATAGGGTTGCCTGGTTTCCACAACAAAGCTAGCCCAATGACCAGTCAAAACTCATTTTATTTATCTGTTATTTTTTTGCCGAGGATAACATTTTACATGAGGTGGTTTCAACAACCACCTCCTTAAGTGGTTTGAGCTATTCTAGAATGGGTTTCAGAGGGCATTTATTTACACATGATCAGATAGCTATTCAGTCAGAAAAACAGCCCCCTTCAGTCTTTCCTCATGTGCCCCTGCAACTATCAAATGTGTGCTTGTTCTATTTCAGCATTCTAGCACAGTTTTTATCATTGGTAAAATATACATTTGGTATAGAATAACATTTCATTGCAGCCATTCATTCATTTTTCTTCGGCTTAGACAATATTTTTATCAGAGGTCGCCACAGGGAAATGAACCGCAAACTTAACCAGCATATGTTTTGCAAAGCGGATGCCATTCTAGCTGCAACCCAGTACTGGGAAAGACCCATACACTCTCACATTCACACACATACACTAGGGCCAATTTAGCTTATCCATTTACCCTATAGCGCATGTCTTTGGACTGTGGGGGGAACCAGAGCACTTGGAGGAAACCCACACAACACGGGGAGAACATGAAAACTCCACATAGAAATTTCAACTGACCTAAATGGGGCTCGAACCAGCGACCTTGCTCTGAGGTGACAGTGCTAACCACTGCGCCATCAGGCCACCCCTTCATTGCAACCATATAAGTATAAATGCAATATGTCATCTTTAACCCTGGAATAAAAATAAATAAGCCTGCGGCAAGTTGTTAAAAATATAACAATTCCACTGGAAAACCACAGACTAGGCAACCCAGGATGTGCATCACTTATTTTATTTCTTTACACTTAATACATTTTTCTTGCTGCCCGAGTTTCCTGTAAAATGATACCAACATTTTGCATTTACACTTGCATGCGAGTATGGAAAGCTTTTCATTTTGGGTAGGGCAAGTCCAAGCAAAAACCTGAAAAGTACATTTCCTCACACTCAAGTGGTTCTAAACGTTTATGAATTTATTTGTTTCTTTTGAATCTGATCAGTGCATTAACTTCAAACCAGCATAGGGAACTTTTTTTTTTCATTATTGAAGCATAGTTTGTTGTGAGGTATCATTTCAAAATGCAGCACAGTGAATGTGTCACTGATGGACGACATCAAATTCTGGGCATGTTTTCTTGTGCGTGTCTGTGCTTGGTGTATCTTCTTTGTCCTTTAGTCTAACATTATGACAGCTGAGATCTTACAGTTTGACAAGGAAGTCAAGTTCATTCAGTTTCATTTTACTCATTTAGATATGAGACAGTGTTTTGTTGATTTGTCATACCCTTTTAGATTGTCCTACCTTCTATTTAAAAAGTAGGCAGCACATTTTGATGATGAAATATGCAACCCATCAGACACCATTTGATGTGGGATTTCAGGCTATAATACCACTTTAAATCACCACAACCTCAGAACCATTCAAATGCAGTGTTGGTAGCAAAACCTGAAAGGTAGGATAAAATGTCTGGGGTTTAGAGTCTCTAGTCAGATGTTGATGTTAAATTTGAATAATAATTTGTAACGCTTGTGCTTTATAAGCCATGGCTATTGGTTACAGATGAACCCATCACTGTTCTGTTGTTGCAGGAATTCTGTGTGTTGCTGATCAGTGTCATGGTCTGAGAGAACTGGCGCTGAACTACCACCTCTTGAGCGACGAGCTCCTGTTGGCACTTTCTTCAGAGAAACACGTTCACCTGGAGCATCTGCGCATCGACGTGGTAAGCGAAAACCCCGGCCAGCAGTTCCACACCATCAAGAAGAGCAGCTGGGACGCCATGGTGCGCCATTCACCCAAGTTCAACCTGGTCATGTATTTCTTCCTGTATGAGGATGAGTTTGGGCCCTTTTTCCGGGATGAGATCCCAGTCACGCACCTCTACTTTGGCCGCTCTGTCAGCAAGGAGGTCCTGGGCCGCGTCGGCATGAACTGCCCACGTCTGGTAGAGCTGGTGGTGTGCGCGAATGGTCTGCGGCCACTGGATGAGGAGCTCATTCGTATCGCAGAGCGCTGCCAGTTTCTATCAGCCATTGGACTGGGTGAATGCGAGGTTTCCTGCAGCGCTTTTGTGGAGTTTGTGAAAATGTGTGGCCGTCGGCTCTCTCAGCTGTCTATCATGGAGGAGGTGCTCATTCCTGACCACAAATACGGTCTGGATGAGATCCACTGGGAAGTCTCCAAACACCTAGGACGTGTTTGGTTTCCAGATATGATGCCCACCTGGTGACATTTTGCATTTGAAAAGTCATCAGACGCAGCACGGGACACTCCTAATTTGGTAATACGGACTTTTTTGTTCTCACAGTTACTTTACAGGGTTTGTACATGGATTTGATTGGAGATTGAAATTCCTTCTATGTTAGTAATGAATTTGGACTGTGATGTCAGGAGAATTTCACCCAAAAATTACAATAATGGTATTTACTTTCCTATAAGCTATTGAGAAAAAAAAGAAAAACAAAATACACTTGCTTTTGTTCTATGGAAGTCATACAGGCTTGTGTAATTGCACAAGGATGAGAAAATAATGACATCATTTTTATTTTTGGGTGGACTATCCCTTTTTCTTGTTGTAACATATATACCAGGCCTATTGAGGTCACGATCTTGTTAAAATCAAAGCTAAAAGTATATAATTATATTTAATTATATTTTGCATCAAAAATGCCATTTTAGGACTATTATGTCATTTATCTGGTCATTGTGTAATTATTTTCACTATATATTTGTTGTTATGCTTTGAGTAATTCTCATTACTATAATTATTATTATTTTACAGCTCTATTTTTACTACAACAAAATACTGCCATGATCTATAACTTTTTCACACACTTTTCACAGTGCAAGATGAGAGCAATTTTAGGGCTGACAGGACACAATCAAAAACAAATAGTGATTGTATGGAGCTAGATCAGTGTAAAAAATAATACATTTACAATATATAATTCATACATCCACAACGCAATTCACATTTACAAAGTACAGTTTGTTAGCTCAAAACACATTTCGTAATGCACAAATCCAATTCATGAACTTAAAACTCAAAAATACACAAATCTAATTTGTAAATTCAAACCGCAATTTAAAAATAAACATCTAATTTGTAAATTCAAAAGAAGATTCAAAAATACACAAATTCAATTCTAAAATTCAAAAGACGATTTGAAAATGCTCAAATTCAATTTGTAAATTGAAAAGACGATGATTTAAAACATGATTCAAAAATACACATCCAAAAAAAAAAAATTCAAAAAACAATTTGAAAATTCAAGACGATTCAAAAATACGCAAATCCAATTCTAAAATTTAAAAGACGATTAAAAAATACACAAATCGAATTCTAAAATTTAAAAGCTGATTATTCAGAAATACACTCGTCCAATTCTGTAATTCAAAAGACGATTTAAAAATACACAAATCCAAATCGAAAATTCAAAAGGCAATTCAAAAATACACAAATCAAATTCTAAAATTTAAAAGACCATTCGAAAATACACATCCAAATCGAAATTTCAAAAGACGGTTAAAAAAATACAAATCTGATTCTAAAATTTAAAAGATGATTATTCAAAAATACACACGTCCAATTCTGCAAATCAAATTGTAAAATTTGAAAAACAAATCCCAATTGTAAATTCTAAAGACGATTCAAAAATACACAAATCCAATTCGTAAATTCAAAAGACAATTGTAAAACCTACAAATTCATACTCCTGTTTGGCAAAAATATACTTGTGAATTCACAAATTGTGTTGTATTTTAGTATTGTGCTTTGTAAAGATGAATTGTGCTGCGCATGTTTGAATTTTATTTTGTAAATTTATTAGTTTTGAGACTGATCTGGCTCTATATTAATTGTACCACATAAAAAGTCAAGCTAACTTTTTTAAATTTGAAGGTTTATTAATTTCTTTTTGGAAACTCGTGTTTCCAATTGAACATTTTCTTTATAAATAGGATAAAAATAGGATTGTTGTATACATTGTAGGGCTGCACACTATTGGGAAAATCTGATATTGCGATATTTTATTTTTCTATTGCGATTATAAATGCAGTTTCACCTGAAGGTTTGAATAGCACTATTTCATGGTTTTCAGTGGAGTCTAACACAATTCAGATACAAAAAATTGACTAATCACAAAAACACAAAACTAAAATTTTAAGAAAATGATTTTTAACATAAATCGTAAAAGTCATGTATAAATAGAGTAATTAACTACAATTCTGTAGCTCCTGTAATATATAATCCAGAGTAAACATTGCATGTCTTGCAATATGATTATTGCAGATGCGCACATTGCGGTATCGATGCTGAAACGATATATTGTGGAGCCCTACACATGGTATTATATGTTACAATAATTCACTTTTTCTCTGCTGTGTCTCTGTTTTCAGTGGCTAATCATTGTCTATCTTCTATTCAGTCATTCTTTTAAATCACAAACAATGGTGTTTTCATAAGAATTTAAGCTAGAATTTAATTCATCCAACCAAAATTTGTCCAAAATTCTTTTTCAAGCTAGGGTGACTGACCACTTGTTAAAAGTGACGCCATGCAAATCTGCTTCCGGGTCCAATAGCTGTATCAAACTGTATGGGGAGACTCATCAAATGGTTGTAATAAACGTTTACAAAGATAACATATATATATATATATATATATATATATATATATATATATATAAAACCATGCCTAATATCGATGGCTAGAAAGTTATAAATTTTTTTTATAAATTGTTACAATTTTGGTATTTGTGATGCAGTAAGTTCAGAGACTGTTGTGTTGTAATGATTTATATAAAATTCACTTTAATATGTGATATAAATAAACATTTTCGCTATTTAAATGAGTAGCAGCTTGGACCTGGAAACGGTTTTCCATTCGTCACTGATATGTCACAACTTAAATGGATGGAGTCATGCTGGTGGAAAGGATGAACCGGTTAATTCCAGTTCTCACTAGGAATCTTCAGCAGCTTCTCCTAGTGGCTTGGACAGCCATAACACTTTAGTGAGAGGTCTTTTTCCCCTCATTAATTAGTTCAAATAATAATGTTTGCTCACTTGAAAGTGTGCTGACTTGGTTATGTAGATAATTAACTCCTTTATGTGATTAATACTTTTGGTATTGCAGTGCTTTTTGTACAAAAAAAAAAATTTATAGTTGAGGATAAAATGCACCTTATACCATACCAAATGAAAATATTATTATTTTTTCTGGTGGTTTAGGAGAATGGAAAGCAAATAATTGTTTTTATTTTGATGTAGCAGGATCAGGGCTTAATTTGTGGCCGAACTAGCTGGATCCGGCACCTCATTTTACCGATTTCCCCCCCACCCCCCACCCCCTCACACGCAACCCCACCTTGCCCTTCACTTTCTTCTGCGACTTCCCAAAACCTCTTCACTTTTATTAGTCTGCGACAGTCAATTCCCACCCCCCCAACTCGCTCTTCACTTTTGTCCGAGACACCTCTCCCTCCTCTGGTAACATGCCGGATCCGTTAACCCGATCTTTCCCTGGACCTCGCAATTTACAAATTAAGCAGTGAGCAGGATGGAGGTTGCAGAATGACATATTTTCAAGGTCTCGTGTATGTTGGAGAGGAAGGAAATGAGAGGATCTGTGTTTAGCTCACAAAACACACGTCCTCAGATTTAGAAAGATACAATGAAGCATTGATTGGTTTCTATTAGATTGCATGAAGAATGTTGTGCATTGACAAACCGAATAGAATGAAACAATGAATGAATTCATCTGGATATGCAAACAATGTTCGCTTATCGACCTCTTCGGTGGTAACCCCTTTCGTTTCAGTTCAATATGTATTGGAGTGAAGCAGAGAAAACCTTTTCCTTTAAGAAGGAAGCCCCATGTGTCTGTATATAAAATGCTGTGTGTTTTGATGTAAATAGAAATACCGGTTTCTCTTGCACCCTCTGTGGAGGTTTGAAGTGTATTTTGTGCTGATTACTTATTGATGAGTGGGAAATTTTCCTTGATGGATTCCTATACCCTTGTAATTAGAGTTGATCATTAGTGTAATTTATTTATATGCTGTTTTTATTTGAATTAATCGCTTACATCGATAGCTTAACTTATCAAATGTAATGCTCCTTGATGATTTATATACATATTAAGTATCACGTTTATTAAAAGTAGTAGTTTTCATGCAGAGTAATGCTTGAATGATCAAAAACTTACCCAAAAAGGGAAGCAGCAGCAGCTTAAACATTCACATACAAGTGTTATTTTATTAAAAAAGAATGGAGCTTAAGTTTTAGTCTTGATTAACTCCGTTTAAAACAACATCAAACCAAGTGCTTGTGTATTTGTTTTTCTGAAGCAAGTGAGCATATTGCTTGTATTGCGAATATGAAATCACATTTATTTTGAGCTGTAAAAACATGATTAAAACATATTGTCTTATGTTGAATTAAATAATGGCAAATAAACATTTGTGCAGACGTTGTGTGTTTGAGTCAATGTTTTACAAATATTGTTCATTAAGTTGACATTTGTAAATGTGTTGTATAAAAGTAGTACAAAATTTAACATGCATCTTTCATATGTTCATCTGTAGTGTAGAAAATTTCAAGCAACACTTATAAAAAAAAAAAAAAAGGCTTATTTTTAGTCAAGTCCCCTACAGTTAAACAGATCAGTTTCACAATTTTTTAAATCCATTCAGCTGATCTCCAGGGCCCAGTTTAAAAAAAATTCTGGTTCAAATTAGTCCAGATTTAGAAATCCCATTTTTTGCTATCCAGGATTAATTGATCTTAATTTTAAGAGAGTTTTAAAGAAACATTGGGTTGAATCACTATTATCCAAATACCAAATTTCAGGATTAGCAAATCCTGTTTTCAGAGCCTTAATTGGAACCAACAGTGTAGCCTACTGGCTTAGCAAAGAACATCAGGTAGGCAAAATACCAGTGTCCACAAACAGCCATTGTTTGTTTTAATGGCAAGAAACAGAAACACTAATCAACAAATATTTGACATTTTTTAGTTTGTTCTAATACAATGCTGCTTTAATATTTTGTTGTTGTTGTTCACCGTATCTCATTAGATGTGACATGCTTTAATATCGCTTCAAATACAAAAAAATGTATATATCCATAACCATTAGGGTGACGTGGTGGTGCAGTGGGTAGCACAATCGCCTCACAGCAAGAAGGTCACTGGTTTGAGCCTTGGCTGGGTCAGTTTGCATTTCTCTGTGGAGTTTGCATGTTCTCCAGTGTTCGCGTGGGTTTCCTCCAGGTGCTTTGGTTTTCCCCACAAGTCCAAAGACATGCGCTATAGGTAAATTGAAAAAACTAGATTGGCCGTAGTGTATGAATGTGTGTGTGAATGAATGTGTATGGATGTTTCCCAGTGATGGGTTGCAGCTGAAAGGGCATCCGCTGCGTAAAACATGCCGGTTCATTTCGCTGTGGCAACCCCAGATTAATAAAGGGACTAAGCCGATAGGAAAATGAATGAATGAATGAGTATCCATTAAGTTTGTGATCATTCACTTAAAAAAATAAAACTTTTTTTATTTTAATTAGTTTATTTGGTTTAAAAAAAATCACAACTGAATTCACCACTGTGATGCCATCCAGATAATACTGCTTTTTTTATTTTTATCAAATATATCCCCATCTGAGTTCAAGGTTTTGAATAACGCAAAGGGCAGATTTGATCTAAATCAAATGTAAAATTGAATTGCATGGTCTGATTTTAATTCAAAATTCCCGTTACTTTTGAAAAAAAATACAAATAAAAAAATTTCCAAGATTTGATGCAATTCATGATCCAAAAGCCAACTGGATTGCTTTTGAAAAACTGGGCCTAGGTCTGGCGGTAGCATTGGTAGCTTAGCCTAGTAAAGATCATTGAATCGGATTAGACCATTAGCACTTCACTCAAAATGAGTTTAGATAATTTTCCTGTTTAGATCTTGACTCTTCTTTACTGACAAAAAATTTAAACAAGCTATTTTTTTTTTGCTGATATGGTTTGGAACTGTTGTAGTCAAAATTTGAAGTGGATCAAAATTGTGCGAACACAAGAACTGGTGTTGTTCAGTAATTTTAGGATGGTAATATATAAATAAAATTCATTAGCAGTTTTCTGTATATTGTGATTCATATTTAAATTTGATCCTGTTTGTTTATGCACTTAAATTGCATTTATGGGTTGTTGTCGATCTTTCTTTCAACAACATTTAACATTGAAAAGTTAAAAAAGAGTCTTCTATGAACATTTTTATTAGTTTGAAGTGATATATTGTCTGGGTTGGTGTTGCATACAGTGCATCTGGAAACTTTTTTCACATTTTTTTATGTTACAGCCTTTTTCCAAAATGGATTAAAACTATTTATTTCCTCAACATTCTACACACAATACCTCATGATGACAATGTGAAAAGAAGTTTTTTTAAATTGTTGCAAATTTATTAAAAATAAAAAACCTGAAAATCACGTGTACATCAGTATTCGCAACCTTTGCCTTGAAGCTCTAAATTAAGCTCAGGTACATCCTGTTACCACCGATCATTCTTGAGATGTTTTAGAAGCTTAATTGGAGTTTACCTATGGTAAATTTAGTTGCTTTGAAAAGGCAGACACCCGTCTATATAAGGTCCAAGAGTTGACAGTGCATGTCAAAGCACAAACCCAGCATGAAGACAAAGGAATTGTCTGTAGACCTCCGAGACAGGATTGTCTCAAGGTGCAAGGCTGAGGAAGGTTACAGAATTTTTTTTGTTGCTCTGAAAGTTCCAAATAGCACAGTGGCCTATCATCCGTAAGTGGAAGATGTTTGAAATCACCAGGGGCCTCATGTACGAAGACTTGCGTGGAAATCTTACTAAAACATTGCGTACGCACAAAGCTGTAAATGTGCGTACGCAGAAAAAAATTCATATGTATGAAACACTGCGTACGCCAAATCTCACGCATATTCTTTTGTACATCCGAATGAACGCAAAACTGAGCGCAACATGCACGAGCACAAAACCCCTCCCTGCCTCCTCCCCCATATGAATATGCTAATGACTCTATTTTGGCAAAACCCAACGAAAAAGCAATGGCAAAAGCAAGCAAAAAGAGAAACTTTGAACAGAATGTGAATTGGAGATGCTGCTTTCAGAGGTAGAACGGAGAAAAACGGTGTTATTTGCAATTTTGTTCTCCGGAATTAACAAAAAATAAAAATAAAAAATAGAGTGGGAGAGTTTAGCTGATGCGGTTAACACAGTTGGTTCTGAACATCGCACTGAGTGAAGTAAAAAAAAAAAAAATGGTGTGATTTATAGGTGAAAAATGCTGCAGTTCCCATAACAGTCTCAGTGGTGCTGCTTGTAAGACGCATGTCAACAAGTTTTGACACGTTCGAGCATGAACTCGGTTCGAATCCAGCGTCTGATGAACTCTTTCTTCTTTTTCCCCCCGCTACATGTCAGATTTTGCCAACTATTTATCACGAGAAAGACAAGTAGGAATCATTAATAAGTTTGTGCATCATATTTTATTTGCACATTTATTGAATGGAAATGTTTCTGATTTACACATGCAAATTCATCTTCAGATAGTGTCTTTATAGCAATGTGTGTGCAGTAGATCGCTCAGATTACATTGGGAAAACAGGCGACTGCTGCAAATTGTGCTTTAACGTTTAGCTGGTCAACTGTATGGTATGGAAACCTTATATACCTGCTAGATGAACCCGTCTCATACAGCTGCCATTGCAAGGCTCAAAGACACTTTGTAGAGAGCAATTTAACACAACTGCCTCTAGGAGTCGCCAAAGGAAATAAAACAGACACACACAAAAAATGTGCGTACGCCAGCCAGAAAGCTGGCGTGGAGCTGCGCACGTTCCCACATTCAGTTCATCGTTAGTAAATCTAAACATGAGCGATTCTGAGCGTGAAACCTGGCGTACGCAAAGTTTTTGTGCGTACGCAGCATTGATACATGAGGCCCCAGGACTCTTCCTAGAGCTGGCCGGCCATCTAAGCTGAGTGATCGGGGGAGAAGGGCCTTAGTCAGGGAGGTGAACAATAACCCAATAGTCACTCTGTCTGAGCTCCAGCATTTTTCTGTGGAGAGAAGAGAATCTTACAGAAGGACAACCATCTGTGCAGCAATTTACCAATCAGACCTGTATGGTAGAGTGGCCAGACTATATTAATGGAGTGGCTTCACAACAACTCGTGAATGTCCTTGAGTGGCCCAGCCAGAGCCCAGACCTAAATCCAATTAAACATCTCTGGAGAGATCTATAAATGGCTGTACATCGTCACCTCCCATGCAACCTGTTAAAGCTTGAGAGGTACTGCAAAGGCAAATGAGCAAACATTCCCAAAGACAGGTGTGCCAAGCTTGTGGCATCATATTCAAAAAGACTTGAGGCTGTTTATGCTGCCAAAGGTGCATCAACAAAGTACTGAATACTTGTGAATACTTGTACATGTGATTTTTCATGTTTTTTATATTTGAATCAATTTCAACAATTTTGAAAAAAATATTTTTTCACATTGTCATGATGGGGTATTGTGTGTAGAATTTTAAGGAAATAAATTAATTTATTCCATTATGTCATAACGCTGTAACATAAAAAATGTGGAAAATGTGAAGCAATATGAATACTTTCCGCATGCACTGTATATACATTACATTATCCATTATATTACTTCAAACTACTAAAATGTCAATAAAAGTTACTTTGTTAAACTGTAGAGCTGAATTTTCAAAATCAAAAGTCGACAGAGCAGAGATCTACGTCCCATAATGCAATTTACAACCATAAATTAACGGATACGGATAAAACTTGTGAATCACAAAATATGTAAACTAAGAATTTACAGATACTTTTTCACAGAGTACAGAGTGTTCCTTTAAAAATCGAATGCTTATGTTATACCAAATCTATTTTACCGAAAAGAGTTTAGTCATGGAAAAGGAATCTCCTCGTAGGTGATCTTTAGATAAGGATATTTCATGGGCAACTTCCAGTACTGAGAGTTGTAGTAGAAATAGAAAGTCTTTTCCACGACCATCTTTTCAAGAGCCTCTAACAGACTTTTGATCATCTCTACCATTGATTGGTGAGAGCGAAACGAGTAATAAAACTGTCTGATATCTGCGGCCAGATCTTTTGTAGAAGACTGCTGAAAGATGCTGTCATCCCCCAAATAGAGAGGCTCCCCGCTGTACAGATAGATCTTTGTGTATTTCAGTGGGGTCTGGCTGGACAGTTGCGTTCCCAGGTCCATTAGTTTCTTATATGTGCGGTGAACAAACTGGGAACAATCGTAGGAGTCGAACCACGTTGTGGAATTTGCACCGGAGTCAGACTTTACAGTCCAAGTCTCATAATAAACACCCGTTTCATTGTCCTCCTGAACCCAGCGAGCCATTTCATTAAACAGCTTGCCTAAAAAAACAAAAAAATATGTGAGAGAAACAGCATAAAAATGTCAACAACTCAAAACAGAAATATTCTTATGTTCACTGTTAATATAAACCTATTATAAGTTGTAGTACTTTAACATAAAACCAATGTCACAAATGTAATATTATCTAACAAAATGGGTTACCTAGAATGTAATAATACAGTTGGAAAAATTACTTTATTTTTTAAATACTCCCATAGTGCTTTTTAACGTAAGATTTTTTTTCCAAAAAACTTTCTAACTCATTTCTAATGACAATTTCTTTTGTCTTTGCATTATGACAGCAACTATTATTAATCTAGTTATTTTGCAAGATACTTGTATTCAGCCTTAAGTGTAATTTAAAGGCTTAACTAGCTTAACTAGGCATGTGAGATAATTTAGGAAATTCAATGGACAACAGTGTTTTTTTCTGTAAAAAATTGGGAAAATATTTTAGGGGACTAATAATATTGACCTTTAAAGCAGTTTTTACATTTTATTTCAGCCAACCTACAAGAAATAAGACTTTCTATAACATTAAAAAATATAACAGGAAATACTATGAAACTTTCCTTGCTCCATTAAACAGCACTTTTGAAAAAAAAAAAAATTAAGGGGAAAAAGAAGGATACACACACACACACACACACACACACACACACACACACACACACACACACACACACACACACACACACACACACACACACACACACACACACACACACACACACACACACACACACACACACATATATATATATAAAACAGTATATAATAATAATAATAATAACAATAATAATAAACATTAAAATAAACAAATATACAAATACAATAAATATATAATTGTGAAAAATATTGAAAAACACTTATACTGACATAAACTTAGTAACATATCCAAAGGAATTTTGAAATAAAAAAAAAAACTTGAATTTTAAATTATGACAAAAATCTTGCTGCCAAATTTGCTGCCAAATCTATTTGTCTGAAGTAATACATTTTTAAAATTACAGTTCATTTGTTTTTTTGGCCTCAGATACGATCCACAACAGAGACTTCAATTAAAACAGAGTCATTAAACAACTGGAGTTGTTGGATTTAAATATTTCAGATTGAGTTTTTTTTCTTTTCTTTTTAGGTTTTTTTGATATATAAATTTTTGACTCTGGACCACCAATGTTTGGGGGGTCAAAATATAGATTTTTCTGTACAGATCAAGTTCCATGAAGATATTTAGTATATTCCCCAAAAATATAGATTTTTCTGTACAGATCAAGTTCCATGAAGATATTTAGTATATTCCCCAATGTAAATATATCAAAACAAATTTTTTGATTACTTTTAAGAAATACGAGTAGACTATATTATAAAGAAGTAATATGTGAGTCAAAGTTTGAGTAATACCCACTGTTAAAAACTTGTTGAAAAAATTTGTAGGTGATTTTTTTTTAAACTCAGATTTCAGACTTGATCAAATTTTGTCTTATGACAACAAACCATACATTAATGTAAAGCTTATTTATTCAGCTTTAATGCAATGGGTGTTTTATGTAAATCATGTTATTTACTAAATTATTAACATATAAAAATAATCAGGAAATGTTATGAACAAAGTAATTCATATATATTTACACATTTTGCTTTAAAGCGGACCTATTATGCAAAAAAAAAAAAAAATAAAATAATTATAAGGGGTTTAAACAGTTGTGTGGCAATAGTCTGTGAATATAAGAAGCTTCTAATGGTAAAAAGGTTTTAATTTTTTTTTTTATAATCACATTTCATAAAAACAATCCGCAGAAACACTTTGATTGACATTTGTACGTGTCATCAAAGGGGAAAGCCTTGCTCATTAGTGATGATCTCTCCTTCATTAGCACATGAAGTTAGTCTTGCTTTTGAATCTGCCACTATGCTGACACGTAGGCATTTGTAGCTCCGCCTTCTTTTGAAAGTAGGGCTGGGAGCAAAATCTCATTTCAATTTAAAGTTAACCAAAATAGCACTAACAGGGTCAAAGCCTAAAAGGGGCAGTTTCAAATAGTACATTTATTTATTCATTTTCTTTTCGGCTTAGTCGAGTCACCAATCAGGGGTCATCACAGCGGAATGAACTGAAAACTTATCTAGCATATGTTTTATGCAGTGGATTTCTTTTCAGCCACAACATACACACTCTTTTACACATACACAATGGCCAATCCAGCTTATTCAATTTACCTATATTTTCAATATTCTTTGACCGAGGGAAACCCATGTGAACACGTGGAGAACATGCAAACTCCATATAGAAATGCCAAGTGACCCAACCAAGTCTCGATCCAGCGACCTTCTTGGTGTGAGGTGATTATGCCACCATGACATCCCATTTCAAAGAGTTAAAAAACATTATTTGTTTGGTATTTTGAACTGAATTTTCACAAACACACTCTAGGGAAATCGGACACTTACTTTAAATCTAGTAAAAAGACACATAATAGGTCCACTTAAATGCTTGAAATCATGTTTCATCTTCAATCTATATATACAATAAATGATAAGTGTTTTTTTTCATGAATAAATTAACGTTAAGAAACCTACCTGAAATTTCTCCTATTTTCTCCAGACTCCCATTCTGTTTCCAGTGTATATCATCAATGCCTTCATAGAAGCAAGCGGCTCCCTGGTTGCACCAGAAAGGAGCACTCAAACCCTCTCTTTCATGAGGAAACGTGCAATTCCCAAGCTGAAACAGCTCGTACCACTCCATAGTGTAATTTCTTCCGGTATTTGCACTCGCAAAGCCGACGGCATCATGCATGATGTGCTGGACAGTGCAAAACACTTGATTAGACTCAAAAATAAACTCCTAATGAAAAAAAGCAAAAAGTCCACTTACAAACTTTCCCATGATGTCACCGTATTTAAACTCCCACACAGGAGTCTGAAGTCTGAAGATGGAGATGAGGTCAGATTCTTTCATGACAGGTATCTGACCAGCTGGATCTCCAGTGGGGCAGAATGGGTATAAAGCCTGGCAGAAAGGATCAACATCTGGACGCTTGTCGACTCGCCTAGAAATTGATAAGATGGTGTTAAATTTGCTTTTGTATGTTTTATTAGGAATGTAATTAATTAATTACTAATAGTAGTCATAAGTTTAGTATCAGTAAGATTCAGTAAGAAAGCTATTCTGCTCACCGTGGCTGCATTTATTTAATCAAAAATACAGCATAAGGTGTAAAACTGCAAAATACTATTACACTTTAAAATTACTGTTTCCTTATTAAATGTACTTTAAAATGAAACGTGTTTAAGCATCAAAACTCTGTAGTGTCTATAGAGGACAAAACCTGCAAAAACAATAAATAAATATGTAAATAAAAAAAAAATAACAAACCCACAAATTCCTGCATAAAACAATAAATAAATATGCAAATAAATATATATATATAAAACCCACAAATTCCTGCATAAATAAAACAATAAATAAATATGCAAAATAAATACATAAATATATATTTTAAAACCCACAAATTCCAGTATAAATAAATATATAATAGTGCGAGCATGAAAATTAAATAAATTACATGGATGTTTTCGGAATAAGAAAATGCTAAACTGAAAGTAGATTTTTCCCCTTTCACACCGCACTATTAATTATTTATATAATTATTAATGCAGGAATTTGAAGATTTATAAACATTTATTTATTTACTTATTTATTTGCGTATTTATTATTTTTATTTATTGTTTTATTTAAGCTGCAATTTATGCATATATTTATTCACTTATTTGAACATTTATTTATTAATCATTTAACTTATGCAGGAATTTGTAAATTTATATATACATTTCTTTATTTATTTTTGTATTTATTTATTTATTGCTTTTGCAGGTTTTGTCCTCCATAAGTGTCGCACCGTCGTTTAGAAATCATTTAAATGGGCTGTTTTGCATTTCTGTTATGATCAATTATTACTGTTAGTGCCAGTAATAATTGATCAAAATAGAAAAGCAAAACAGCACATTTATTACTGGCACTAATTATTTTTACTGGCATTAATAATAAGTTGTACAATCAACAATCTTGAATTTTTTTGTCTGTTTCCTGTAACACATTCTTTTATTAAAACAAAATAACAGCATTTATTTGTTTGCATCATAAATGCTTAAGTTCACTGTGGACAATTTAACATGTTGAAGTGAAGTAAATACAGAAATATAAAGAAGCAGCCCTAGCCAACAGTTTTCACCACAGACATTAATAATAAACTATTATATATATATATATATATATATATATATATATATATATATATATATATCAAATGTATGTTTGATGAGGTTAATAAAATTAAATCTTACTCATCTTAAACGTTTGTGTATAAGAAATCATTAAATCATTTAACATTCAAACCATGTGATCACACACTCAGCAAAAAAAAAAAAAAAAAAAAGTCAAGTGGCTGCAACTCACTTGTAAGGCACTGGCCAGACCTGCTTTCCATTTACGATAGAAACGACCAACCCCACAATCCAACAGTGAAGCACGGCGTGAAGAAAATAAACGGAATACTTCATTTCTGCCCCAGGCTCGCAGAAACACTAAAGTTGCTGTCTTTCTTGCAGCTCTGTATATTGTTTCTAGCTCACATCCTTGTTTTCGAGAACAACGGTCACGTGACAGTCTAAATTGAGTCAAGTGGTCTGTCACGAGCTTCTGTACAGGCTGCTATCCCGTCAAAATAAAAGCCAGCCGTTCTGTACTCACCCCTCTCCTATATTAATTATTTTTTTTTTTTCTCATATGGGATGTGATTTCAATCAATTAGTCAATGAAAATGAAGTTTGTAAAGACTTTGAAAATGAAAATGAAGTTTGTTTTTCTTGTATTTATATGTATGTTGGAGTTAAGACGCACTCACACACACACACACACACACACACACACACACACACACACACACACACACACACACACACACACACACACACACACACACACACACACACACTAAATATATAACGCAACCGAGTTTGGACCGAGTTTGGACACCTCTGGAATCAATGAAATTAACCTGACTGTAAAAGTAATACATTATTTTGAAGCATTTGAAGGAGTGAAAGCCATTTCGCGCATGCGTCTTTAATACATACGGCGTTGCTATGGTAATAGTTAACAACCTTGAAGTCAAGTTTTTCTTTGGGATTGTTCTTTAGTATTAAGCTCAGGTTTATCATGTCTGACGTTGGTTCTGAAGAGTTTGACGAGGAGCGAGGCTCGCTGGGGGTCAGTCACTGTCGGAGGCTTTATTCAGATAACAGCAGATGACTGTAACTTTAGCTCCTTTTGTGTTGCAGGAATATGAGGGAGACAGAAATGAAGCTGGAGAAAGACATGGACAGGGCAAAGCTGTCCTGCCTAATGGAGACACTTACCAAGGAGCATATGAAAATGGCAAGAGATCCAGCCAGGTCATTTACTTGAATACACTATTTAGCTTTCCCAGTTTATGCCGTTTCTAAATCTTGTGTTGTCTGGATTATCAGGGCACGTATAAATTCAAGAATGGGGCCAGATACACTGGCGAATGGTACATGAATTTAAAGCATGGAGAGGGCACATTTTATTACCCAGATGGTTCCAAATATGAAGGTATGTATTTATTTTCCACATCACCCCAAGTATATCAATCTGACCATGAGTGAACAACACAGTTTGCAACTGGAAATAGACTGAAGACTTAGACTGAAGAAATAGACTGAAGACTGAAGTTTGGCAACTAACGTTAACTGGAATAAGTTTAAGTAATTAAAACGTATAACTGAGAAAAAACTTAAAT